AAGATGTCATACGATCACATATACATTGAAGATTAAATAAAGAGCTATCATGCAAAGTAACATATTCATAACAAAATTACATACACATATTTAATAATATAATATATATGTTAAACGCATGTTGTAATCCATTTATGTTGTAATATATAAATTAACCGCATGCTGTAATACACAAAAACAATATAATAACTAAAACATATTCAATAAAAATATATATATAATATTTACGAACTAGTGTTTAATAAAAAAAAACACAAATCCATGATTTAAACGTGAAAACATGCAACTTTTGTGGGACTGGAATTATGATTTTACCAAACAAAATCAGTGGCTAAAACTTAATTTACCCATAAACTTAATATAAAACCTAAATGAAAACTAACCTAAACTAATCTCACCTCTGCCGCTTAGCTCTCTCCTTGTCCAACTCTCGGCCAGGCTTTCTACACACCAAACGACCGCCGTTCAACCACTGGGTAAGACCCTAAACCAACCCAAACTCTTTAGTTTTCTCTCTACGCTACAAACCCGAGGCTAAAACTCACTAAATTGACCCCTAACTTCTAAAGCCGACGAGTTCGATTCCAAAACCCAACACTTACTTCGGCGAAACTACCGTACACCGACGAAGAGACCAACCACCATATACATAAATAAACTTCCCTCATTCGAGAGAATATACTATGCTGTAAACCGACGACTACATAAGCTACGACTAGTGCCAACTCCGATTGAGACCCGAAACAGACACAGGTAAAATGAAACTAACTTATCTCTTTACTTCTATTTGTTTCAAAACATGTGATATTGATTATTATTTAGAAAAATAAATAAAAATAATAACCTGTTTATGGACTGCTTGGATTGCTTCTGTTGTTGGATTGCTAGAGAAAATGGTGTGTTGCTTGTTATATTGCTTCCTTCCGAAAATGGATGTTCTTACACTATTTGATTTTTGAATACAAGGGGAAAGAATGTTGTTTACACTCACTATTTTGTATTTGCTTCTCTGTTGTGTAAAACAAAACAACGAATGGAGGAAAAATATGGTCTCTGATTCTCTCATTTCTTTTTCTTCTCGTGATGGCCGATGGTTGATATCTCCCTCCTCGTTTTTTTCCTTTTTTTCGTGTTTTTCTTTCTCCCTTTTTAGTTTCCAGTGGTTAAATTTTTTAAAATCGACCTCTTCACCACTTTGTTTTGGTTAACTCCTGATAATTTTTTTCGATTTTCCAGGACTTCATGTGGACTAGAGGCTTGGATGATAATACTGCTGGGTCATTGGGCTTGAACTGGGCCTTCAACGAGTTAGGTTCTTCTTTAGGCCTGCATTGCTTCGGGTCTGCTGTGACTTAGACCCGGACAAATCAAGTATCTACAATATGTAAATAAATACGCTTATCTCTATTTATTGTAAATGTTTTTATTTTGCATGTTTCCAATCATCATTGTTTTAATATACAAAAAATGGAAAAATTTCAATGTGAGGGAAATCTACAAAGATATCTCCCAACTAAAGGGAAGGTATATTTTTGAGGATTTTTAGCATAAATGTGTATTTTATATTCGATAAATTCTCTTTGTTCTACTTTTATTTATTTCACGTATTTTTTTTTATAGTTTTCATCTTTATTTTGTTTTATTTTATTTTATCTTTGCAAAAATTGGGAAATAATGTCTGCTGTGAGGGGAATATGTGGGAAAGTCTCCTAACTGCAAATGAAGTGCTTTCCCGAAGATTGTTCACACGAAATGACATTAATTATCCGTAAATTGACATTTTTTTGAATAAATTTGAATAAATAAAAGAATCGTAATTTAAATATATTTTCGAATTTGTAATTCCTAATATTTAAACAACATATAATAATTTAGGTACAAAATTTGGGCATTGTGGGGTGCTAACCCTTCCTCGCACGTAACCAACTCCCGAACTCTTAAAAACGAATCTTTGGTAAAACGTAGACCATTTTTTATCATTTAAGTTTCCAACTACCTAACTGAATGGTTGGCGCTGACTCCAAAATCAAATTATTTTCTAAATCATATTTCATCGCCTTTCCTCTGGAAATCCATTTTTTAAGTTTAACGGGTTCCCCGCAGAAACGTGATGACACATACCCTCTGGAATCCAAGGTCGGAAAATAGGGGGCTCGATAAGTTAATCGAACCTCTAAAATTTCGGACCACGAATTAAGGAAATGCCATAACGATGTATCATCCGTCGCGATATGATTAATGCTGCAACTGAGAAATATACCATCCACAAGATAAGTTACTCGTATCCCTAGTAAAGGGTTGGTGATACCCTCGTAGTTACTAATTCCGTTCAACGTGAAACACGAGTGAACAACAAACGCAACGTAAACGGTCTTAACGATGTCAGATACTATTACTCCATCGGTTGCAGCATGTACAAACAAGGCACCGGCATCGTTGCAGTCTACGAAAAAGGAAACGGTGTCATCGTCTTCATGTCGGGTTGTTGCGAGTTCACCCGTCACCAGCGAAAAATGGTGTAGGGCGTCCGAGAGAGAGGTTCTTAAGTGATGGATCAGCTTGTCCTTATCTTGCATTGGTATGGAGAAAACAAATCCCTTTTGGATGTACCCTATTTGAAGCAGCCGAAGATCCCATGGATTTAGCTCAATCCTCCCACATGATGACTAGTTATCTGCAGCGTGGACTGTACTTGTCGATACCAATCGCACCGCCGCCATGTTTCTCCGGTAAAAGATGTTTGATATGATCGATTTGAGCCTAACCGAACAGATGCTATTAACCAGAAACAGTTTCAGACATACTGAGAGACACTTTGATCAAAGTGAGGAATTAAAGAGATGTGAATCCTTACTATTACAAGACTAAAAGAGCATCTAGAGTCAACGATTAAATAGGACAATTCGAAAGACCTTCAATTATTTGACAATGAACATCTCAAATGCCCTTGTCGATATAATATTTGATTCCAACACCTTTATTATTAGCAACTATCTATTTAACCGCTAAGGTCGTAAATTCGTATTAACTTTTAATTTTGAGATTTTATATTTGATAAACTAATTTTTTTATAAGGGATGAATGGCAATGATGGTTGGCTGGGTTGTTGAAGCTCTCTAATGCAACGGTTGATTTATTCCTCAAAGAATTTCCTCTTTACATTTTTATTTTTTCTTAATTTTTTTGAATTAATAACTAGTATTTTATCTATTGAATTAATTTAAATAATTTACAAAAATCTATTATAAGGGTGATTCTTACTACCCATTTTGCTAAATAATGTACAAAGTATATTATTGAAATATGTTAAATGTACAAAATGAATCTTTTCACTATTTAATTTAAAATAAAATACATGTTTAATACTTAAACTATTATTTTTGTTCTATTTTAGTATCTAAATTTTATTTTTATTTTTAGAAGCATACCTAACATTTAGTTTAGGTTTTATTTTAGTACATTACCGTTAAAAACTTAAAGGTGTCACCATAAGATAATGTCATCGTCATTGAAAAAATATAAACAATGCGACATCAATAATTCTGTTAATTTTTAACGATGTGACACTAAATTGAAACCTAGATTAATGTTAGATATGATTTTAAAAATAAAATTTGATACCAAAATGGAACAAAAATAATAATTAAGGTACTAAACGTGTAATTTACCTTTTAATTTAATCTAAGATACACTCTTTTGCAAATAAAAAACAAATATTCTATTTTTTATTATTTTGGGTGAATAGAAGGTATTGTATATTCGAAAGACTCTCAGCTATTTGACAATAGATGAACATACATCCCTATAAGTATCGTGTTCTAACATTCATCAAACTTTCAGGAAACAAGATCTTCATTTTCATTTCCAAAGCATCACAAAATGTAAACATTTGTATTGGTAAAGCAAAATATGTATCGATTAAGATATACTTTTACAATGTAAAACTCTTTTAGTTTTATACATATTTTGGACTATTGGATGAGTGAAAATAGATAATAAAATTAACTCATTGTTTTTTTTGTCTAGTGATTATCTTCTTATTTTTTACGTTAATCTCAGTCATATATTTTCACTTATCTAATGGTTTTAGATATAAGAATGACAAATGACCCGAACCCGACGGGGAAACCCGAAACCCGACTAAGTTCGGGTTAGGTCGGGTTTGAATAATATCCGGTCGGGTATCGGATAAAATTTGAGGATTTTTTGGGTTCGGGGCAAGGTATCCCTACCCCGCCCCACCCCAATTATATATATATATAATATAATATTTTATATATTTTATATTAATTATATATAATACAAACAAAACATTTAACCTAGGTTTCTCAGTTTCCACTTTCCCCTTTGTATTTTCTATTCCTACGGCAAGTAAGCTTCACTGCTTTAGTCTTCGATTCTTTATTGTATGATTTGAATATCGGAAGAAGTTTGTATTTAATTATGTTTGTGTTTTATTTTGGAGTGTAGACAATTAATTAGAATTGGGTTTGAATTGTAAATCATGTAGACTAATTTTTCAGTTTTTGTGATCATTTTTTATATTTTTTTATGAAAACTACGGTTGCTCGGTTTTTCTCGGGATCGGGTTGGTTCGGGTACAACATTTTAGGTCGGGTTCGGGGACGGGGCAAAAAAATCCCCAACGGGGCGCCCCGATAAAAAACCCGTCGGGAAACGGGGATTCATTTCGGGGACAGGGATGGGGGAGCAAAACTCGCCCCGAACCCGCACCGTTGCCATTCCTATCTAGATATATATAAAACTAAAAGAGTTTTACATTGTGTAATAAGATACCAATCTAATCAAAGTAAAATCATAAAAAGAAAACACTTTCACCCATATATATATATATATATATATATATATATATATATATATATATATATATATATATATTTCAATTAACCCAAGTCTATAATCTAATCAAAGTAAAATCATTAAAAAAGAACACTTTCACCCATATTTTTAGGACTTTTCATGGTGATTAGTGAGTACAATTGTTATTTTGAATAAATAGTCATACACTTATTGTGCAATAAGGGGTTCCAAATTGTTGGGTTCCTGCCAATCTATGAAGCTTCTTCACCTCTTTGATGGCTGGATCTTCAAACAAAAGAACTTTGTCTTTTTCTTTTACCCAACCATGTGTAAATATTCATCATCTCCCCTTTCTTTCCCTTTAAATAATACCCCCTGCTCTCTTGGCTCCAAGCTTGTTATCAATGACAACACCAACTTTAATTCTCCTAACCAAATGTACCCAACAAACTTAATCAATAACCCGAATTTTTCGAATATTTACTTTAAATTTTCATTGGTTTAGAAATCAATGAGATACACACACCCACGGAGGTAACTGTTTGAACCCATGATTTTAAAGAAGAATAACAATTTCATTAACTGAGATCACTTGATGAGTTTAAAAATTTGTATTGTTAATGTGTGATGTACATACTCAAAATATTTCTCGAACTACGACAGATTATTTATATAAAAGAAGGGAGATAAGAAGGGCTTACAAAAAGTGGAAGTTGATTCAATGGAAACATCATGAATTGAGAAACTGTTGAGACTCCAATAGTGATCATCCCTTCTCTTGAACCACTAGTTTCTCTCCTTTGAATAAGCATCGCACCAGGCCTAACTTCCCATTAACTTCCCATTTGATTTCACTAATAATATTGCTGTTGTTTGCACATCCCTTTTCACCACCATTTCCTCCATTGCCAAACCTAAAGCTGCCTCTGCAAAAACCTCTTTGACTTCAACTTCATCATGTTTTTTTTCAAGCTTATGATCTTCTATCAATGTCTCCAACACAAGATGGTGAAGTAGCTAATATATAGTAGTTGAAGGGATGGGTTGGGGAAATAAATAAATGAAAAGAAGCCATACGTAAGGGTAAAGGGTTGTAGGCAAATATGGACAAATGAAAAGATGGTTTGCTGCCTTTGTGGGAGGCTAAAGCACATGGGGCGTGGTTCATGGACGTGCTTGCTTGATTGAGGGGCTCAAAACATACACCTTAAAGATATAATTTCCGGCATCAACCAAACGGTTTCATTGATTAAAGAATTATTGTTATATTTTAAGGTTTCGGGTTCGAGCACCACATATGCAGGAGTGTATGAACATTCAATATCATATGATTGAGAGTCTTTGAACATATTCTATATTGTATGAACATTCAATATCATATAATTGAGAGTCTTTGAACATATACTATATTGTATTCACCCAGACTTAAAATATAACTGCTCGAATTTGAGTTTGCTAGGTATAATAATATTCTATTTTACTACTAAATCACTCAATAAATTCAAGTTTGAAATCTTAAGAATACATCGGTATGTATTTGATATGAAAATTTTATCATCTTTTAGTCTTATTCAATTTGACGAGATTAATTTTTACCTAAACTATTAAACGAAAAGGTTAAAACACTTGTAATTGGGACTTTTAGAAAAATTGTATTTATTGACCAACAATTTTTTTACTATATTAGTGATATGAAGGACATAATATTAATATTTGATAACACTAAAAAGATTAAATTACGCCAAATTAAAATATATTAAACGAAATTTAATTTAAATAAAGATAAAAAATCATAATTTCATATTGAAGTTATATTGACATTACTAACTTTCTCTTTTCATTAATCTACAAAAATATATTAAACTAAAATAAGGTTGTTCAACAACTAAAGAAACAAATGATTATATTATTTTTATAATATATATAATATTTCTGTGCACTCCTGAGATAAAATTATATATGTTCTTGTTTGTTTTTTGGGTTTAGTTAGGTTAGTTCGTGGGTCGTTTTTTCTTTCTCATTTATCTATTTTCACTCCTTCAACAATTATAAATTAATATAAAATTAAAAGAGATCAACATATATAATAGAATCATATATATATATATATAACATGAAATCATGTGGGGTAATGAAGATTCTCTCTTTTCTATCTCTCAAAAGTTAATTAACTTTTTTATAGATTTAAATATTAAACAAATTTATAGATTCAAATTTAAATAGGTTATTTCTTAAAAGTTTATTGACTACTGCACAATGATTGCTCCATGCAGCAATGTAGTTTGGACGCAGGAATCATGACAAACACCACATGAATCGTAGTGTAGTCCACACGCTTTCCAGGAATCGACGTGTAGTTCAGAGGCATGCCCATAAAAAGGGAGGAAACATGTGGGACCACAAGGTAGATAGTGTCACACTCCCATAAGATTTGCTCCTCGTTGGTATTCCCAAGCATAAGATTTTAGGCTAATGGAAAATGATTTCAAGCTATCAAATCATTGAGTTCCAGTGCATGAATACATGTCTTTGCCCATTTGTATATTTATTTTTAGGGTATTCTATGTTAATTACCACTAATTTTTATGTCCGGGATTGAAAATATCACTGACATTTTAATTTTGTCAATTTTAATACGGACGTTTATGTTTCACTTCAATTTTATCACTCCGCCATTAATCTGTTAACGACACTATGTCAGGACATGGACGGGCCATGACGGCGATGACATGGTCGGTTTATTTAAGTTTTTTAGTCCACATAGGATCGTTGTTGGCATTTGATTGGTATTTTGTGTGATATAAATACACAATTTAACCCTAAATTACCCCATTTGCTTCCTTTCTCTTCTTATTTTCGGCAGCAGAAGAAATAGGAAGAAGGAAGAAGTTCGTCGGTGGAAGAAGCAGAATAATGGAGCAATCTCTTGCATATCTAGTCTGTGGGTGTGGATATCCGACTCAACTGAGGACATCATGGTCCAATGATAATCTTGGGAGAAGATTTTTTGGCTGCAAAAACTATGGGAGTTTGGTTCTACATAGTTGTCGATTTTTCTACTGGTTTGACCCTCCAATGACTCCGCGAGCACGCGTTGTTCTTGTGGGATTGTTGAAGTAAATCAAAGCAACTGAAATTAAGAGGAGGAATGAGAGAATTGATTGGAGTGTTTTTTTATTTTAGGGTTTATATTGGGTTGGTGCATAAAACAATGGTGATGGAGATAAAATTTTAGGGTGAAATTTGTGATGATAGTACTTTTGGTTTATAATGGGACGAAAAAGTGAGGGTGAAAATTTTAGGATTAACGGGTTGGTGCTTGTTAAAAATGATGGTGCTTGTTATATGGTTTTGTAAAATTAATTGTTGAGCTTTGCTTGTTAAAAAAACTTGGTGATTTGGTGCTTTGATGCTTACAATTTTTTTATCTTTAAAATGTCAAACATGAATGATAAATTTCATTCAATTAGAGTTGTGGTTGATAATCAACAAATGTGTACAAAAACATAAAGTGCACATAAACACTTAAGTTAAAACAGTATCAACCTATAAAACCCAGCAAAATATGAAACAAAATATCAATGTTAATAAACACATGTGTTCAAAAGACATAGTTCATAAACTTAAGTATTCAATCCAAAATATCAACCCAAGTTTCTAAGTTCTGAAATCATCCACATAAAGTTGGAGAATTGCAACCTATAACATCCTTAGTCGTTTTGCAAAAACAGTTCGACAGTCTTCTTGGGAAGTCTGGGTTATAGTGCTTAACTGGCTTAATTGTTGGTTGGCAATCACATCTTCTTGTGAGGGTGGCATCCATCTAACTGTCATTACATTTTCTGTTTGGTGGTTGGTTGTATAAAATGTGTGGCCTGGAGTAGGAATAAAGACAAATGAAGGCTCAACTTGTGATGATGATGGTGCTTTGATGTTGCAACTTGTGATGATGGTGCTTGTGATGTTGCAGCCTTTGATGATGGTGTAATCGTTGTTGTAGTTCTTCTCCTAACCTGTAGTCATAAGCGTACCAAAATCTCAAAACATAATTGTAATTGTGATATAAGGTTAAAAAAGAATAAGAAATATTTACATGTAGTTTTCTCCGGATATGCTTTGATTCAACCATTGTTTCGTTGGTTTCCCTTGTTGAGTTGGAATTAGGTGGCATGTTGCCTCCAACTATCCCTTTGAAGGACCTTTGGTTGTGTCCTGGTTGACCACACTTGGAGTAATACATCATCATACCTTTCTTGCTAATTGTAGCATAAGAATTTGTAGGCTCATTCGCTTCCTTTCTCCTATTTTTTTAGGTCTTCCTGGTGGTCTTCTAATTGTTGGTGGTATAACTGGTTCACAAGTGGTGTCAGTTAGCCACTGATTGGGACCTCTCATGGGTTGAATGAAGTGACTATAAATTTCTCGCTGAGTGGTTACAAAATAAGAGTTGTGAGCATAAGCTTCAGGCCTTTGATTATTTAACACCATTACAAAAACAACATATATGCATGGGATTCCTATCAATGAAAGAAATAAAAGTGGTTAAATTAATAAAGTAAATGAGAACAATATTGTAACATAAGACACTTGATACAAACCAGTAAGATCCCACTTCCTACATGAGCAAGAATAATTTTCTAAATCAATAGCATGTTGGTTAGATGGTCCTGCAGACACTTGATATTTTCACCTCCTACGTGTGTAGGCCAACACCTATACATAAAAATGAATCACGTATAAATAACTTAAAGTTATAATTGGAAACAAACTTAACATTACATACTAATTAGTAAGAATAAATAGTTTAACAATACCTAGTGGACTGTTGAATTGCAAGTTCAATTTTCTTTTGGATTCTCGGACACAAACTTCCAGTGTACTTGTTTGCAACTTCATTTTTCTTGGCAATATTTTCCATTATCTTGGTCCTAATCATCTCCATTAAAGTCAAAATTGGTTTATCGCGAGCTTCCAGAATCATCTTGTAACAGAACAAAAAAATGGCTTAGAATCATATTGTAATATAATCATATTTAAATAATTTTATTCATTTTACCTTGTTAAAACACTCCGACAAATTGCTGAGAAGCATGTCTGATTTACTCCTTGGGGAGAAATGAGATTTAGAACATTGGGCAGGGTCTTTTGCATGCAACCAATCAAAGGCTGGTTTTGATAATGCTTTCAGTTCATCCATTGCATCTTTAAACTCTTTTTTGTAGGTAGCTTTAGCTGCCTTCCACAATGCATCCTTTAGGTTCTTTCCTTTGAATTGAGCATTATTTTTAAAGTTGGAGTACAAGTGTCTCACACAAGTCCTATGCTTAGCATTAGGTAAAACATGCATCATTTCCTCAAAGAGTCCCTAAAAAACAAGACGCAAAGTATTAGAAAAATTGTTCATAACTGACCAAAATAAATAATTAAAGGGTAAATCAAAATTACCTTTTGTTTGTCTGACATAAATGTGATATTATGGGAGGTTTCAATCTCCAAATCAGTTTGCCAACAGTAAAAGAAACCAAGTCCAAGATGATTCATTTTCACTCTCAACAACAACATAAGCAATTGGATAGATGTTGTCATTACCATCAATACCAACAGTAGCCAAAAGAGTACCTCCCTTAAGGTGACGACCATCGATGCTAATTATAGGTCTACAACCTTTGAAACCTTCTTTGCATGCTTGTAAACATATGTACATTCTTTCAAACACCCTATTATCCAATTTTAGAATGGTTATGCTTCTAGGATTAAAAGACCTCAATTCTCCAAGATAATCATATATCTTTGAATATTGACCCTTGTGACTCCCAAGGACCATATCAAGAGCTAAGTTCTTAGCTCTCAAGCATTTACTCAATGACACTATATACACATAATCTTCTAATACATCCTGTCTTAAAGCTGTAATTGGGTACTGAGGATTAGCCCTAAATTTTTCAAGATATGTTTTAGCCATCCACTTATAGGTTGCATTTTTATTTTTAAAACCCATCAAACATTTATGATCTCCTACATAAGACTTAATCTGCCATGAGGT